ATTAGAGAATGTCCAGAGAAGGGCAATTAAAATGATTAGGGGTTTGGAATGGGTCCCATATGAGGAGCGATTAAAGAGACTGGGTCTTTTCAGCCTGGAAAAGAGGAGACTGGGGGGGGGGGGGGGTAAGTGAATAAGGAAAAGTTATGTACTTGTTCCCGTAATACAAGAACTAGGGGCCACCAAGTGAAACTAATGGGCAGCAGGTTTAAAACAAATAAAAGGAAGTTCTTCTTCACACCGTGCATAGTCAATCTGTGGAGCTCCTTGCCTGAGGAAGTTGTGAAGGCTAGGACTATAACAGGGTTTAAAAGAGAACTAGATAAATTCTTGGAGGTTAAGTCCATTAATGGCTATTAGCCAGTATGGATAAGGAATGGTGTCCCTAGCCTCTGTTTGTCGGAGTGTGGAGATGGATGGCAGGAGAGAGATGGCTTGATCATTACCTGTTTGATTCACTCCCTCTGGGACACCAGGCATTGGCCACTGTCGTCAGACAGAGTACTGGGCTGGATGGACCTTTGGTCTGACCCAGTACGGCCATTCTTATGTTCTTATGATATGTTATTACTTTGTTACTTCAGTGAATTTTCTATTATAAATATAGTCAGTGGCCAAATTTTACCCTTCCAGATAACATACACAACCCTTATTGATTTCAACAGGAGCTGCACAGATAACAGAATTTGACTTACTAATGAGACATGATTTTCCTGGCCATGTGAACTGTTTACTCTTTTGCTATGTTTCCAGTGTTTTCTACCATGTGGATATGGGCACTAACAAAATATTGATTTTATGGGAACAAACTAGAGCCATAAGAAAAACATCAAACCCAGGCAGGTTTTGTCTGACACACACACAGATTACATCTCTTACAGGAACTGATACAGCCACTGCAGCACAGCCTTGGTAAATGTAGTACAGTAATGCTATCAAATTTAAGTTAGCCTTACAGAGGCATCAGGAAAATGACAGTCTTTAGAAGCTTGATAAGAAAAGTTATTACTACAACCTTGACTGACAATGGGGAACAGAAACTGCTTACGTCTTAGTGAAATATATAACTGGATATTTACAGTATGGCCAAGTAGCAGAATTAAAACCAATCTCAATAAGAAACAGCAGAGAGAGAATAAATATTTGTACTTCACTATAAATAATGCAAGAACACTCCCTTTCAGTCAAACAACCCCTGTGATGCATCCTGTGTAGCACTTAGCACTTTCATTTAAACAACAATGCCATGTTTGAAGTAGCACCAGTACATCACGGTGGAGGAGGAATGAGGTTTGCTATGTAAAGACATCAAAATTGGATCCCAAGATATTGCGACTAATCTGGAGGATAGGGTCATAATTCAAAATGACCTGGACAAATTGGAGAAATGGTCTGAGATAAATAGGATGAAGTTTAATAAAGACAAATGCAAAGTGCTCCACTTAGGAAGGAACAATCAGTTTTACACATACAGAATGGGAAGCAACTGTCTGGGAAGGAGTATGGCAGAAAGGGATCTAGGGGTTATAGTGGAACGCAAGTTAAATATGAGTCATTAGTGTGATGCTGTTGCTTTCTTTGCAAACATGATTCTGGGATGTATTAACAGGTGTGTTGTGAGCAAGACACGAGAAGTCATTCTTCTGCTCTACTCTGCGCTGGTTAGGCCTCAATTGGAGTATTGTGTCCAGTTCTGGGCACCACATTTCAAGAAAAATGTGGAAAAATTGGAGAGGGTCCAGAGAAGAGCAACAAGAATGATTAAAGGTCTAGAGAACATGACCTATGAGGGAAGGCTGAAGGAAGTGGGTTTGTTTAGTTTAGAAAAGAGAAGATTGAGGGGGGACATGATAGCAGTTTTCAGATATCTAAAAGGGTGTCATAAGGAGGAGGAAGAAAACTTGTTCATCTTGGCCTCTGAGGATAGAACAAGAAGCAATGGGCTTAAACTGCAGCAAGGGAGGTTTAGGTTGGACATTAGGAAAAAGTTCCTAACTGTCAGGGTGGTCAAACACTGGAATAAATTGCCCAGGGAGGTTATGGAATCTCCATCTCTGGAGATATTTAAGAGTAGGTTAGATAAATGTCTATCAGGGATGGTCTAGACAGTATTTGGTCCTGCCATGGGGGCAGGGGACTGGACTCGATGACCTCTTGAGGTCCCTTCCAGTCCTAGTATTCTATGATTCTATGATCCTGTAACTTGTTTCACAAGAGCAGGAGTCCACCACTACAGAATGAATTGTACAATTGAGGCCTAAATACAGAAATAATCCACTGATGTCAGGAAGTTGTATTAGACTGGTTGAATAATGAGAGTATTGTAATATATTGATCTGAATTATAATGCATCAGTTTTTCTAACTATGCCCTGAAAAAAGCTTAAATTTTTTAGATAAAAATGTAATTTAAAATATAGTAGGTCAATCTCATCCATGATGTAACCTCAGTCAAGTAAATGTAATAGCACAAGAGAACAAGTAGTTGCATCATACAGCCATTCTCTCTGGAAAAGCATGTTGTAGCCAAAGCTATACTAACTCAGAAATGGATTTGCATGAGTTATGTATAATTCAAATGAACATCTCCAAATAAACCAGAATGCATTTCTTTCCAATAAAACATGTTCTCCTTGAAAAGCTATCAGATATTTAGAGAATGAGCATTTGATTAAAAATCTACATCTCTCTTAAAAGCACAATATACTGGTGTAAGTAACATACACATTGACTTAGCATGAAAATCACATTTTAAAGTTATTCTTGGTCTCATGAAAACAGATCAAATGAATAACAAAACATGTGAAAACTATTTCTAATTATCTTGATTTTATCCACTCCTATTGCTTAATTCTTATATTTATTGGGCTGTACAATCTCTCTCCATCAAAATGGACACATCTTCATAGTCCAATATCCCTCTTTCCTTATACAGAGCCCAGTGCTACAAACCCATATTCATGTGAACAACACCAACTTATGTGTGTGTGTGTGGGGGGAGGGGGGGCTATGTCTACACAGCAACGTTATTTCGGAATAACTGACGTTATCATATATATAGTAGCCCAGTGTCGGAGTCTGTAATGCTGACATACACGGTCACACCCCTGGCTGTGTAAGTCACCGCCCCGCCCCCCCCCCCCCCCTCTCCCCCCCCCCCCCCACCCGGCCGCACGGCGGGAGGGAAGGGAAACGGGGAGAGATAGAGGGGAGAGAGGCGAAGAGAAAGGGAGAGTGAGAGGCAGAAGGGGGATAAGAGAAAGAAAGACAGAGAGAGGCAGAAGGTTGAGGAGAGCTGAGGGGGGGAGGCAGTAGGGAGAGAGACACACACACACACACACACACACACACACACACACACACAGGCGGGGGGCCCGGGGGGAAGA